CAGGTTGGAGTACAGTGGCACCATCTCAGCTCACTGCAACCTCCACCTCCCAAGCTCAAGCAATCCTCCCACCTCACACTCCCAAATAGCTAGGACTACAGGCATGTGTCATCATGCCTGTCTAACTTTTTGTATTTTTGGTAGAAACAGGGTTTCACTATGTTGCCTAGGATGGTCTTGAACTCCTGAGCTCAAGCAATCCGCCCACCTTGGCCTCCCAAAGTGCTTGGATTATAGGCATAAATCACCACGCCGACCCTCTTCACAAATTAATATACAAATTATACAAATATAAAAACACAATTATAATCCGAATGGCAAAGTGGCTTATTATAAAACTTTAAAAGCCAATTTAAAATTTCATATACAGCATCAAATAGCCAAAAGCCAATTTTCGAAGAGAGGAATACTTGTTCAACCACCTATTAAGATAGTCTAGGCCGGGTGCCATGGCTCAAGCCTTTATTTCCAGCACTTTGGGAGGCCGAGGTGAGTGGATACTGAGGTCAGGAGTTCAAGACCATTCTGGCCAACATAGTGAAACCCCGTCTCCACTAAAAATACAAAAAGTTAGCTGGGTGTGATGGTGTACGCCTATAATCCCAGCTACTGAGGAGGCTGAGGCAGGAGAATCAGGTGAACTCAGGAGGGAGAGGTTGCAGTGGGCCCAGATCGTGCCACAGTACTCCAGCCTGAGTGACAGTGCGAGACTCCATCTTAAAAAAAAAAAAAAAAAAAAAAAAAAAAGACAGCGTAAAGGTAGAATAGGACTATTCAATAAATAGTATTGGGACAGGTGGTTCCATAAGCAACAATAAAAAAGAATTCCATTTCATCAGACAAAAAGACACACACACATGCACGTGCACATGCATGTATAAGCATACTCTCTCTCTCCAGATTAAGGACCTAAATGCAAAAGCAAAATTATAAGCACATTGAAAAACATAGAATATGCTTATGACCTTAGAGAGGGCCTTTTACAAATGGGTATTGACTATTTTAGCCAAATGAAAAGGTTTACAGAGTACTTTGATGAAAATCCATGTTCTCACCATTGCTTAAGAAATAAAAGCTCAAGCTTTCATTCAATTCTTATTCGGTTACAAATATAATTGAAGCCATATAAACAGTTCTTGCCCTTAAGAAGTCCAAAGGGCCATGGAAGCACAGAAAATACCAATTCAGACAGGAGCCATGAGTACCCAGTCATAAAATAAGGCTGGGGGTTTCCTAGACAGAGAAAATAAAATAGCACACACATGAGCTATACATCATCTTTGACTCTAATTGTCAAGTGAAGATTACCAATGGCAAAATCCCAGAGCATGCTGGTCTAACCAGAGCTATGCTATCTGAAACATAGTTCTAATGAACTCACTTTGCACTGGGGGATGGGGTTGAGGGTAATATATAAAACAGAACAGGGGCCAGGCACGGTGGCTCAAGCCTGTAATCCCAGCACTTTGGGAGGCTGAGGCGGGTGGATCACGAGGTCAAAAGATCGAGACCATCCTGGTCAACATAGTGAAACCCCGTCTCTACTAAAAATACAAAAAATTTGCTGGGCATGGTGGTGCGTGCCTGTAATCCCAGCTACTCGGGAGGCTGAGGCAGGAGAATTGCCTGAACCCAGGAGGCGGAGGTTGCGGTGAACCGAGATCGCGCCATTGCACTCCAGCCTGGGTAACAAGAGCAAAACTCCATCTCAAAAAAAAAAAAAAACAGAACAAAACAAGACTGTGCAGATCAATCAACCTTAGAGCAGAGGATAAAACTGATTACTTAAAAAAATATAATAAAAATTTGGAGGCAGAACATTCCAATTTTAATAGGGCAACAGATTTACAGTGCTGAAAGGAATGAATCTCCTGCTCTGGATATGTATACACAACGCTTTAAAACAATAATCTATATACTATAGCCATATTTCAACCAATACACCTCTCTTATTCATGATCAATTAGCTAATCTCTAATTAAATCTTATCAAGATATACTAGATAGCCACAGAGTAAAAAAAGAAGAGATTATAGCTATTTTGACTATATCACAAGTGTTTCTGAAGCCTTTCACACACTTTCTATGTAACCAGATAATGCAGTTGAATTCTTTACTTTATCCTCTTTCTTATCTCCTTTGCTGAATTCTCTGCTAGCTTTTATCTCCCTGCTGTGAAGGTACCCAAAGAGAAAGTATTGGACATAGACTTTTCTTTTTAAATACCAACTTCTTTGAAGACATATGACTTTAATTATTATCTTCAAACAAAATAATTTCAATAATTCTGGCTTGGATTTTTCTTTTAATTTCAGTTATATTTCATCTTCTTGGATACTCTGATTTGTATCGATTTAAGTCTAAAAACAGTACACACATATATACATGCTCATGAACACATATACACATAAATGCACATCCACTTTTTAAAAAGTCACAGGGACTTACCATTTTTCCTTATCTACAAACAACTCATCCTCTTAAATTGCCTAAGTCAATGGAGTCCATCGTGTCTCTCATCTACCCAGTACATTTTAGCTTTTCTCAGTTACAAATCTTATCCCGTCTTCTTTTCCATAGTGTCTTCCCCACCTGTCTCTTCTTTTTACCCTCTACCACAAACTAACCTAATTTGGACATCAATCGCCTCAATAATTTTAAGTGTTCCTGCTTCCAGTCTCTTTCCTCCTTCCCAAGCATTCTCAACACTGTTGGTGGATCACCCTCTCTAAAACACAACTTCAAACCCGTCATTCTTTTCCTCAACACCTTTTTAAAAGGTGAATAATAACGTCAAATATTTTAACTATTTAAGAACCAATAATTTTGGCCTTGGCGTGCCTATCCAAACTATCTTTTCCAATATTCAAGTTTCTCTATTCTTAAAAAAAAAAAAAATCCTTTCTTCAGATTTCTCTCAAGCTACTCTACTACTATACTTCTAGAGAGCACTGCTTGCAGTTGTGGAAGCAATCTGGCTATTACTCCAATCATGATGAAATTATTTTTGTAGTTTCCAAATTGCAAAGCAAATATTTAAGCTCCTCATTTTGCTTGACCACATGATGCCATTCATAATTCAGTCTTATCTTTCATCACTCCCTACTAACCATCCCTATAGACTCAGAAAACCACTAGACTTCCTCTAACATACCCTGTTCTTTCAGTTTGTGCTTCCACGTTATTCCTTGCCTCTACAATGCCTTTCCTGACTCTGCTGTACACGACAAACTGCTTATGAAATATCATCTCTTCTATGGAATTTCCCCCCACTTCACAAACATCTTTGCTGTCAGTGTACTCTTACATTCTTCACTAACAGGGTTCGGAACACTGCACAATAATTGTTTCACATATCTTGATATTCTCAGAATCTAACATAGTTTGAGGCACCTAGTGGACAATTAAGGGTGGGTTTTTAAAGACCTTCTGGTATGATCTTATTATTCTATCTACTCACGATTACTCAAGTATACTGTATGAAGAGGCAGTATGTATCATGGTTAAGAGCTCAGATTCTAAAGCCAGGCTGTCGATCTATGAACTTTAGATCTACCACACAGCTCTGCAAATTAATTAACCTTCTTGTGCCTGGGTTTCCATATGTGTAAAAAAAAGGGATTATTATCTTATTTTTATTAGACCTACTTCATAATACTTTAAAAATTAAATGCCTTAACAATGGTCAAAGTGCTCAAAACAGTGACTGGCACTAAATATATATTGTCTGTTTTAGTTAATAGACCTTAGTTATTGCTGATCCCTTCCACAAGCTAGTCCTGTATTATGTTCTATATTCTCTATTTCATATTATGTCCTCTATTCTCTATTACGAATGGGCTCCCTTCATTTTTCCCTTTATCCAAATCTTACCCAGGTTTTAAGGCTAACTTCTGGTAAATCCTTTGCTCATTCCAATCCTTCACTCCTTAATTTTAATATCTACAGCATTTTCTGCATCACTCTGCATTTAATTAAAACTGCTTTGCATCCTTGTAGTTTTTCTCATGTTTGTTGATCCAATTGTTATAAACTCTCTGAAGATCCTGATGACGCCTCCTGTACCTCTGTGAGTTCCTGTTGCTTAGTATTTGCTGTGTAAAATAATAAAGCACAATAGGAACCTCAACTCTGATCATTCTGCCTTTGCAATCAAAGAAAGGGAGAAGGCTGTGAGAACATTCCATGCTTCTCTAGGAGCCAAGCTGCAAATGCATTAGGGCAAGGGAATTCGGACTCCCATTAAAATTAACGGCTCTGACATGAGGCGGGGGAAACCCTCCCTGCCACTGTAGAGGATTTATGGGGAGCCCTTAAGTTCCCAAACCAAATTGTAGCACCGGCTTTTTTTTTTTTTTTTTTTTTATGAGAAATGACAAAATGATTGAGAGCACAGGATTTGGAGTCATACACAGATCTGGGTTTCAGAGGGACTCCAAGCCTGTTTCCTTCTCTATAAAGTGGACATTTTAACACCTACTTCACAGGTATTTAACATTCACCGGTATTTAACATTTACTCTAACAAAACTGAAGTGCAAAGCCTTGGAAACAAATTTAAATAAATAATACTGTAATTCACAAATAAAAGCGAGAACAACAGTTTTAGTTAATAAGAACATAATAAATGTGGTGGCAGTATTTATAATAGTCTAAATTGCCTGTGAGAAAGTTAAACTAGTATTGTCAGTAACACATACTTAAGATGAGGGAAAAATCCCACCGCAAAAGTCTGTCCTTTTTGACACTTTCTCCTTCCTGTAATTTTTTTTTTTTCTTTTTCTGAAGCGGAGTCTGGCTCTGTCACCCAGGCTAGAGTACAGTGGCGCGATCTCGGCTCACCGTAACCCCCGCCTCCCGGGTTCAAGTGATTTTTCTGCCTCAACCTCCCGAGTAGCTGGAACTACAGGTGTGTGTGTGCCACCACGCAGGGCTAGTTTTTGGTATTTTTAGTAGAGATAGGGTTTCACCTTGTTAGCAAGGATGGTCTCGATCTACTGACCTCGTGATCCGCCCGCCTCGGCCTCCTAAAGTGCTGGGATTACAGGTGTGAGTCACAGCGCCCGGCGAATATTTTTCTTTCACTTAATATTAAAAAAAAAAAAAGTTCAAGATTATCCCCAAAGAGAAATAGTTTAAAAGCAAAATTTAATAGCAAGTTGGTTCTGTAAGTTCATAGTTCAAAAATACTTTCAAGTAGGAATTAACATGAATTTAAGAAATTAACATAATGGCTAACAGCTGAGCTGATGATCTGAATTGGTAATTTCAATTAAGAGTTGTTCCAACTTGAAGCTGGCAGTCACACACAGTCTAAAGGGTTTGTTTACAGCACTGACAAAACTAAATACCCCAATCTTTCAGAAAATTCCCCCTGGCATTCTAATAACTAGTTATCTTAAGGCAGTATAATTGTTGAAATACTTCACGAACTAAGCCAAAATGCGTTTCCTTCTGAAGACAAAAAAAAAAAAAGTGACAAGTCTTATTTTTGACCTGTGATTTTTTTTTTTCAGTTTCGGATTATGAAATAAAATGCTGTTCATCCACTGAAGACATACTCGCTGTCTGGACTGTCTTCAAGCGTAAGGGAGGAGGTAAAATTTTAAAAACAGATTTGTTCTCCTCGGGATACAGTAGGATGTGGGATTCGTTAGGAATGCTAAGTATTAATAGAAGAGATCAAAAGAAGGAAAGAAACGTTAATAATGTTTACAAGCATTGTGAACTTTCAGCAATGTTGAAACCTTATGATTTAAAGATGAAAATACAGCTTTTGGGGAGGGAAATCCACCTTAGGGTAGAGAATGAAGAGTCAAGTGCGGACCGAAAAGAATTTCAGGGGAGATGGAAAGGGGATTGCGGGAGTTAGGATCCTGAAGGGCGTTCTGCGGGGCGGGCGTAAGAGGGGTGCGTGCGTGCGCGTGGGTGAGGTTTGTACTCAGGGCTGAGATAATCGAGGTGACAAAGTTGTGGAAGTAGAATTCGGAGGTGCGGGAGCAGGGAGGGGAAGGAATGTGGGGATTTCCAGGCTAAGCTGACAAGTTCCGGGCGCTGCTCTCAGGGGGAAGGGAGGTCTCCTCGAGTGCCAGAGTCCGTCCACAACCACCGACCCTCTCCCCGCCGCTACGCGGCCCAACACCCGGCCTCTCCTCACCTCAGGCCGCGCCGCCTCGATCCTCCGCGTCTCTTCAGCACACGAACACCTCGGCGCCAGGTTGGGCCAGACCCGTCGGCCTGGCAGGCTAGGCCACCGGCTCAGCTGCGCCTAGGCAGCCCAGCGCGGCTCCGCCGGCCTTTTGGCTGGTCGCCCCGACTTCGGAACGCTGGCGGTTCCTACGCCGCAGAGGTGGCGCACCGCCCCAGTCCCGCGGCGGGGCGGGGCGGGGCGCCTCCAATCCCACCCCTCTGTGCCTCCCGCTGCGCCCCGCCCCCGACGAGGACCTAGGCGCTGATTGGCTCCTGTGAGACCCTTTGCGCTCAGGCATTGGTCCAGCGGCCGCCCGTCGACGAGAGGGCGGGACTCCGCGGGGTAGCGATTCCCGTAACGCGGCTCCCCGCGTCCCGGATTCCGGTGGCTGCGCCCGCGTCTCCTCTCCTAGACAAGATCGGAGGGTTCCCCCCACCTCCCCTCTGTGGGCGGAAGGAGCGGAATGTTCCATTTTTCCGTGGAATAACGGGGTCATGAACTGAAGCCCGGGTGCTGCCCTCTGCCCCCGCCCTCCCTTCTCTCCTGGGCGCCTTCGGCCTCTCTTCGCCGCCTTCCCCTTGGTACTCAGCCGCGAGGGGACCGCCTGGCTCCCTTGGGGACGGGGGAGGCATGGGAGCCTCTTGGGGAAAGTGAAGAGCTCGGTGACCGTGACTCCACACGAGGCTGCGACAGATTGTGGCGGTGGCTTCGCCCCAAGTCTTATGTAAACGAAGCTTGCCACAGTATTTTTTTAAAGTAGTAAATGAATTTGCGTGCGATTGATCAGTGAACCCCAGAGCTGTTGGCCCGCCAAGCGGCCAGTGTTTCTTTGCAGCTTGTACCTCCCCGTTTGTGGTTTAAAAAAAGAAAAATACCGGGTAAAGACGTATTCATCTCCCCTCCTCTGCCCGCCTCCGTCTCCCACTTTTCCTCAGAAAATGGACCTAAAGGCTCATGAAGTTTGTTTTTCCCCAAAGCAAGATGAGAAGAGTTAAAAGATAAGGCATGTGCGTGGGGTGTGTGTGTGTGTGTATGCTAAAGTAAAGAAGCACCCAAAGGTAGAAGCTTTTGTGGAAGAATGAGAGGCTATAGGAAGGCAATAATGGTTAATGAACTTAAATTATATCTATAAATTAACAATTACAAGGTTCTTCATTATACTGAGGATTCAGATAGAGTAAAACGTAAATCGAATTACAGTCTCTTAGTTGTTGATCCGATAATTTATAAAAATGCAAAGTGGGCCTGCTAACGGAGTCCCAGGCAAACTAGAAGGTGTTGCAGCTAATGTGCAGCTCTTGCTGCTCACCTACAGATCGTGACCAGATTGTATTCTAGCTTTGCCATTAATACGGGTGCTTATTTTAAAACAAACTTTTATAAAAATATGTTAAATTGAAATTTTTGTATAGATCCAGGAAACTTGATTTTTTTTTTTTTTTTTTTTTTTTCAATTCAGAGTCTCACTCTGTCACCCAGGCTGGAGTGCAATGGCTGGATCATGGCTCACTGCCGCCTCAAATTTCTGGGCTCAAGCAATCTTTCCACCTCAACCTCCCAAGTAGATCAGACTGTAGGTGCCCCTACCAAACCTGGCCAATTTTTAAAATTTTTGGAGAGACAAGAGTTTGGTATGCCACCCAGGCTGGTCTTGAACTCCTGGCAGCAAATGATCCTCTGGCCTTGGTGGCCTCCCAAAGTGCTGAGATAACAGATGTGATGCAAAGGTGTATTTAGGGGAAAGGTATAGTGGTTAAATGTACCCTCCAGTCTAGATTGGCTAGGTTTAAATGCTGATGGTGCTATTTCCCATCTCTGTGACTTTGGGCAAGGCTTTATAAGTCTCTTCATCTGCAAAGTGAGAATAACAATACCAACGTAATGGGATTGTTGCAATTATTAAATGAGGTAAAATACCTAAGTGCTTGGCACATAGTAGGTGCTTAGTATCAACTATAATCATTACTGAATGTCTACTCAGTCAACGCTTCTGAAATCTTTTAGTATCACAACATATATTAAAAATGACATTTCACTGAACAGAGGAGGGCAGGTACACAGAAGGAGATTGATACCTCACATGACACCAGCCTGCCTTGGCACTGTTAGGAAAACAAATGACTGAGTTAGTGCTTTTATGGATGTCTTTTTACTGGCTCAGCACAGGTCCTGCTCCAAAGAAACTCACATTTTGTGGGGGTGATTAGAGTCTGAGGCCAAAAGGATGAATCAATATTGGAGAAAGATTTTCAGAACAACAGGATGGGATACCTCTGCTGTGCTGGAATTACATGACTTTGCAGACACCTCTGTAGAATATTGGCCTTGAAATGACCAATTTCAGATTAAGAATTTGTTACTAGAAAGCCTTGTCGAAATACAAAAGTAAGTGGGGAAAGTGACATATTAATGGAGAAGTCTCCATTAATGTCCTGGGACTATTTGGGATTTTAGAAGTGACAAAAACAGGCTAGGCAGCAGTGGCTTGTGCCTTTAATCTCAGCACTTTGGGAGGCTGAGGCGGGCAGATCACTTGAGGCCAGGAGGTTGAGACCAGCCTGGCCAACATAGTGAAACCCCGACTCTACTAAAAATACAAAAATTAGCCAGGCATGGTGGTGGGTGCCTGTAATCCCAGTTACTCCAGAGGCTGAGGCACAAGAATCACTTGAACCCAGGAGGCAGAGGTTGCACTGAACCAAGATCCATGCCACTGCACTCCAGCCTGGGTGACAAAGACTCCCTTTCAAAAAAAGAAAAAAAATAGCAGAGACTGGGGAACCTATACAGTGAGAGGGTAACATGAAGGCACCAAAATTACCTAGGAGTAAGTGAGCAAAGCTTAGGAAATCTGCCATGGAACAAAGGTGATAAATGTCAAAGACAAACTTTGCCTACATTTCTATTTCTCTAAATCTGGCCCTGAGTAGGATATCCCTTTACTTCCTTGTCTCTTTCCAGTTATGTTTCTGAAACTCTGTGTCACCCTGAAATTATCCTCATGTTCTGCATCAACTTAATGATTTCAGCATCCATGTTCATGACTCATTAGTACTCTGACCTCATAATTTATCATCCTTTTCTTTTCCAATCATCTTCAACTTCACTCTGTATCAGCAACTCACAGATGGAGCCACACCTTCAACCTAGTCATTGATGAAATTACTTCCCCTTCAAAATGTTGGATAGTGAGTTTCCCTCTCTATACCTACAGCCACCTACCCGCTTCTACCTCTATTTTGTGGTCACTCCCATTGAATCTGCAATTTGTCCTCAATGTGACAGCTAGTCTTTCTACTCATAGTTTATAACCTGTTTCCTATCCTTTTATCTTGAGCCTCAGCCTCCTGAGTAGCTGGGATTACAGGCATGCGCCACTACGCCTGGCTAATTTTTGTATTATTAGTAGACACAGGGTTTCTCCATGTTGGTCAGGCTGGTCTCAAATTCCTGAATTCCCAACCTCAGGTGTTTCGCCCGCCTTGGCCTCCCAAAGTGTTGGGTTTACAGGCGTGAGCCACTGCCCGTCCAAGAACCCTTTTATCAACCATTTTAACTGCACTCTCTCTAATATCTTCAATTCCCTTGACCTTCACTTATGTTTACCTTATCAGGCCATTTCCTAACTATTTCCTTTTTCCTTGAGATATCAGCCACACCCTAACACTTATTTTTAGTACAGAATTTTGTTTTACTATTCCATAGAAAAATCAAGACCATCATTTGTGAGCATCCTTAACTTTTCTCCAACTTAGGAGGCAAATATATGTATATCCTCCTTCTCTTTTCACTGTTCCTCAGAGGAAGAAAAGCCCCTTTTTATTATTTTTGTTTATTTATTTTTGAGGCAGAGTCTCACTCTGTTGCCCAGGCTGGAGTGCAGTGGAGTGCGCGATCTCAGCTCACCAAAACCTCCACCTCCCAGGTTCAAGCAATTCTCCTGCCTCAGCCTCCCAAGTAGCTGGGCCTACAGCCACACGCCGCCATGCCCAGCTAATTTTTTTCTATTTTTAGTAGAGATCCGGTTTCACCATGTTGGCCAGGATGGTATCAAACTCCCAACCTCAGGTGATCTGCCCGCCTCAGCCTCCCAAAGCACTGGTATTACAGGTGTGAGCAACCGCACCCATAACCCCCCCTTTTTCTAAGATGGAGTTTTTGCTCTTGTTGCTGAGGCTGGAAAGTAATGGCACAATCACGGCTCACTGCAACCTCTGCCTCCCGGGTTCAAGCGATTCTCCTGCTTCAGCCTCCCAAGTAGCTGGGATTACAGGCATGCACTACCATGCCCTGCTAATTTTGTATTTTTAATAGAGATGGGTTTTCTCCCTGTTGGCCAGGCTGGTTTCAAACTCCCAACCTCAGGTGATCCACCTACCTTGGCCTCCCAAAGTGCTGAAATTACAGGCTTAAGCCACCATACCCGGCCCCCTTTCCTTTTAAAGAGTTAATGCCTCCTCCTCTGTATTACTAATCTAATAAGTTTAGTCTCCTAGTTTCATACTTTTCATTAATAGCACTAAATGTCTTCAAAATGTTTAAAAATTAAATACTAAGTCAGTGGTGAGTTGAGGACAGACCCTCTGCATGTGTTAAAACCTTTGTAACCTGACAGCACCTAATTCACCAAAATTAAAAATAACAAATTAAATGTCTAAAAATGAAGCTTGCTAAGCTAGATTGTAATTCACTTAACAAAATGAGCTGAGAGTGAAAAATGAACTTAAATTTCCAAACTAGAAGACAGAAGAAATTCATTTCATAGCAATAGACTCAGAACCAAAAAGTTTTTTGAAAAACAACGTGTAGGGGAGGGAGAGAGGAAAAAAAAAGAAAAATAATGTGTATTCAGAAAAATGAATGTACTATAAGTGTACAGCCTGACAATTTTTTACAAAGTGAATACATCTATGTTTATCATCTACATCAAGAAACAGAAGGCCAGGCATGATGGCTTACATCTGTAATCCCAGCACTTTGGGAGGCCGAGGTGGGTGAATCACATGGTCAGGAGTTCGAGACCAGCCTGGCCAACACGGGGAAACCCCGTCTCTACTAAAAATACAAAAATTAGCCGGGGGTGTATGTGTGGTGTGTGCCTATAATTCCAGCTACTCGAGAGGCTGAGGCAGGAGAATCACTGGAACCTAGGAGACGGAGGTTGCAGTGAGCCGAGATCGTGCCACTGCACTCCAGCCCGGACTACAAAGCAAGACTCCATCTCAAAAGAAAAAGAAAATTAGCCAGGTGTGGTGGTGGACACCTGTAATCCCAGCTACTTGGAAGGCCAAAGCAGGAGAATGGCTTGCATCCGAGAGGCAGAGCCACCACGCCTAGCCGGGAACTTGAAAAGTTAATGGAAATTTTTTTTTTCACATCAGATGGGAAATGTGCCAACATTGTAACAAGGTTTGAGGGAGGCACATCTCACATATGCACATGAAAACCTAATCATCAGGCTTATGAACTACAAAGAATGTGACACTTGTGTCATTTAAGAATGACACTTAACATTTTGTGTAAAAGTAATTTCTGTCATTACTTTTAATGGTGAAAACCACAATTTTGCACCAACCTAATATACTTATTTTATTTTAATTAATATACTAAGCCAAGAGAGTTTAAAGTGATATAAGTAGAGTACATCTCCGGCCACCGCACCGCCTGGCTCTCGTATTCCTTGTTCTCAGCGGGCTGTGGGGCCTTCACGCTGCAGCCGTTAGTCATGTCAGATTCTGGAAGTTACGGTCAGTCTGGGGGTGAGCAGCAAAGTTATTCTTCCTATGGAAATCAAGGCAACCAAGGCTATGGACAAACACCACAAAGCTATTCTGGCTATGGGCAAACAACTGATTCCTCTTATGGACCGAACTACAGCGGTTACTCCAGTTATGGACAAAGTCAGTCAGGTTATTCACAGTCCTATGGTGGTTATGAGAATCAAAAGCAGAGCTCATATGGCCAGCAGTCATATAATAACCAGGGACAGCAGCAAAACATGGAATCATCAGGAAGCCACGGTGGAAGAGCACCTTCTTATGACCAGTCAGACTATGGTCAACAAGATTCATATGACCAGCAGTCAGACTATGATCAACATCAAGGCTCATATGATGAGCAGTCAAATTATGATCAGCAGCATTATTCCTATAATCAAAACCAGCAGTCCTATCATTCACAAAGGGAAAATTACAGCCACCACACACAAGATGACCGTCGTGATGTGAATAGGTATGGAGAAGATAATAGAGGATATGGCGGGTCACAGGGAGGTGGTAGAGGGCGTGAGGGATATGACAAGGATGGAAGAGGTCCTATGACAGGATCAAGCGGTGGTGACCGCAGTGGCTTCAAAAATTTTGGTGGTCACAGGGATTATGGACCCAGAACAGATGCTGATTCAGAGTCTGATAATTCAGATAACAACACAATCTTTGTGCAAGAACTTGGGGATGGTGTCTCTACAGATCAGGTTGGAGAGTTCTTTAAAAAAATAGGAATTATCAAGACAAATAAGAAGACCGGAAAACCAATGATAAACCTTTATACAGACAAGGACACAGGGAAGCCAAAGGGGGAGGCAACAGTGTCATTTGATGACCCTCCTTCAGCTAAGGCAGCCATTGACTGGTTTGATGGAAAAGAATTCCATGGCAACATCATTAAAGTGTCCTTTGCCACTAGAAGACCTGAATTCATGAGAGGAGGTGGAAGTGGAGGTGGGCGGCGAGGACATGGAGGATATAGAGGTTGTGGAGGCTTTCAGGGGAGAGGCGGAGACCCCAAAAGTGGGTATTGGGTTTGTCCTAATCCGTCATGTGGAAATATGAACTTTGCTCGAAGGAATTCCTGCAATCAGAGCCTAGACCAGAGGACTGTCGTCCTTCAGGAGGAGATTTCCGGGGGAGAGGCTATGGTGGAGAGAGGGCCTACAGAGGTCGTGGGGGCAGAGGTGGAGACCGAGGCGGCTATAGTGGAGACAGAAGTGGGGGTGGCTATGGTGGAGACAGAAGCAGCGGTGGTGGCTACAGCGGAGATAGAAGTGGGGGGGGCTATGGTGGAGACAGAAGTGGGGGTGGCTATGGTGGGGACAGAGGTGGCGGCTATGGTGGGGACAGAGGAGGCGGCTATGGAGGAGACAGAGGAGGAGGCTATGGCGGAGACCAAGGCGGCTATGGAGATCAAGGAAGTTATGGAGGAAATCGAGGGGGCTATGGAGGAGACCGTGGTGGTGGCAGTGGCTACGGTGGAGACTGAAGTGGAGGCTATGGAGGAGACAGGAGTGGTGGCAGCTATGGAGGAGACCGAGGTGGGGGCTATGGAGGAGACAGAGGTGGCTATGGAGGCAAAATGGGAGGAAGAAACGACTACAGAAATGATCAGCGCAACCTACCATACTGATGACTGTTTTGAATGTTCCTTTGTCTCTGACATGATCCATAGTGAAATTGCCAGAGTTTTGCCTGCTGCTTTCCTCGTGGCCTCTTCTTGGGTAGTGAAATTAAGTGACATTTGGATTTTATTTGGGTGGGAGGGCTGGGACAGTTTTTCTTTTAGAAGTGTCTGTTGAGATTTCCCCCTTTAGTTTCCAACCTTCTCCCCAACCCTTGGAGCTAAATGCATTGTAAAATATTGCCAAAATGAAAAGTGTTTTGTAATACTGCAATAAAGACTGCTTGTTTTTGTGGAAAAAAATAATAATAATAAAATAAAGTGATATAAGTACTGTTCTGTGACGGTTAAACAGAGAGGAAGAGATCTAGCTCAGAGATCTCCACCCTCTAGCCTTCTAGGGGAAACCCTGATCAAATAGCCATGGGCTGGTCAATGATCTTGAGTTATTTTGTTTCAGAGAGAAGCTTGGCTTCAGAGAAGGAAAGACCAATGCAGACACATAAGCAACAGTTAGGTCCATCCTATTCCCAGCCACATACATAGGATAAGGAAGTCAGGTATTGGGACTGTAGCTTTGGAATGGACCATACTTGCTTCAGAATATTATCATGTGGAGTTTGAGAAGCAAGGGCTTTCCTTTGTTGACTCTCCTTTCACCAATCATCCTGGAAAGAATATTCTGCAGTTACAAAATAGTTTCCTTGGTTGCAAGTCTGATACTTATACTAAAACCAAATCGATAAAAAAGGACCAACATGAATTTCAAAAAAATATATTGTGTGAGCTTGTATAGCTAAGAATTCTCAACCCCCTATATAGGATCTGGAAAGATATAGTACTTATTATATTAAATAACGGTTTAGGTAAATGTGTATCTGTCTCCCTAAGAGAGGAAGGCAGTCCATACTGAAAAGCAAAAATGAAATGGATATACTTCCTAAGAGGGCTGGAATTTTCTGAAAATTGTCCCCTCTGATTTTTCACAGGATTTGGGGAAAGGCCATCTTCCATAATTAACAAATAAATTAATGAAATTTAATGTCAAGGTCAAATGAAACTGGAAACAAAGCTTATCTGGTAGTATGTCAAATTATGAGAGTCATTATTTAGATGTAAGGATAGATGAAAGACTCTTAGAGGAAACACTATAACCTCCTGCTTCTTGGTTTTCCTTGTGTGATTTCCTCCTTTTGAGTATGAAGGGATATATGCCATCAGGTTATATGATAGTGCCCATCTTGCTAGTGTCTCTCATTCTCTTGTGGCTCAGAAAAATCAAGCTGCCATGTTTGAGCTTCAATATGGAGAGACCCACATGTTAAAGAACTGAGGGCAGCCTCTGCCAACAGCTAGCAAGAAACGGAATCTCTCAATTCTACAACGTTAAAGAACTGAATTTTGCCAACAAAAGCAGATCCTTTCCCAGTCAAGCCTCAGATAAGACAGCATCCTCAGCCAACAACTTGTTTGCAGCCTTGTGAGAACTGAAGCAGAGAACCCAGCTATGTTGTGCCTAGACTCCTGATCACAGAAACTGAGATAATAAATGTGTAGTTATATTAAGCTGCCAAGTATGTGATAATTTGTTATGTAGTGGAAAACTAATACAGCAGGGAAAAGTTAAAAACTATTCATATAAATATTTATAATGGATATTCTTTCTACACATTTAAATCAAGATTTTCTTAAGTTCATAAGAAGACATGAATCTGGGCCGGGCATGGTGGCTCACGCCTGTAATCCAAGCACTTTGGAGGCCAAGGTGGGCAGATCACCTGAGGTCAGGAGTTCAAGACCAGCCTGACCAACATAGTGAAACCCCGTATTAAAAAAAAAAAAGAAGAAGATATTAATCTGGAGAAGGAAATTATATCAAGCAGAAGCTGCTCTTGTGTTGTGAAGATGCGATCCAACCATTCTAATGTATTCAATTTATTTATTCAATAAGTATTGAGCATCAACTACGTGCTGAGGTATGAATCTAAGGAAGACACACATGTTGTCCTCATTGAGGACCTCAAACATCTAATGAGAGAGATAGATACATAACCAACATAGCCATGTCACAGTGCTATAAGGAAGATGTTAAGAGAATATTCTGGAAGTACTTATACATGAATACCTCAGAAACTAGGCATTATAAGAGCTTAGTTCCCTCTCTCTACCTTCAATTCTACATCCTCATACCTTGTGGTGGATTAAAAATGGCCACAAATTCTTCAATACTCATCTATAGAGAAATTTGAGGGCTATTTCCTTTCATCTTGAATTTAGGCAGGCTTGTTCAGGATCTAGCTTTTAAGAGGAGCTTTCACCTTGGTCTGTGAAAGTCCTGAGTCACTGTGTACGAAGACCATCTACCTTGTTAGACTGTTTATAGAGAGCTGAGACTACAGTGAGAGGGAGAGTGGCCCAGCTGATCCCAGTCTCCCTAGTAACCCTACCCAGGAACTTGGCATGTGAGTAAAGCCATCCTGGAACTTCCAGACCAGACCAGCCACCAGATGAATAATACTAACTGATCGCAGTCAATGCTACATAGAGTAGAAGAACTGCCTAACTGAATTCTTCCCAAACTACTGACTCAAAAATGTGTATGACATAATAAAATGATTGTTTTAAGTCACTGTTTTGTTAGGAGCAGTAAGCGACCAGAATAAAATTCTGATATTTATCATGTACCATTCTGAAAAATCTGACCATCTCCTTGAAACTCTCTCAGTGCCTTCCCATTACTGAATTCCCTCTTGTATGTCATAGAAGTCTCTCATTACGTGACCTCTACCAACTTCTCCGGTCTTATCTCCTAACATGGCCTCCAACTCCAGGCTCTCATATTACCTATTTGCTAATGGTTCCTAGGCCAACATCCAGCATGCTGTTTCCTGCCTCCATGCCAAGAAGAGACAGCTTATTCTGTTTCCTTGGCCCATCATTGCCTTCTTCATTTGCATTGCCTAACTTGCTCACCGTGTAAAAATACTCATCTAAGTAGTTATTTCCTCCTGGAAGTCTGCTCTAAGCCATGAGAAACTCACAGCCAAAAATGCAAATGATTCCAGATGATCATTCACTGTAGAAAA